TGCTAGAGCAACATCTCTGGCATGTGTTGTCAAGGAGCAGCATGTGCTCTCCTCACGGAGCCCAGCTGGGATGAAGAGGGGAACTTGCCCCAACACTGCTCCTCCCTGCCTCCTTTGGCACTGCTTGGCAGAAGCTATCCTTGCACTCTAGGGGTATGTCTACACTTACCGGAGGGTCCGGCAGCAGGCAATCGATGTTCTGGGATCGATTTATCGCGTCTGGTTAAGACGCGATAAATCGATCCCGGAAGTGCTCGCCGTCGACGCCGGTACTCCAGCTCGGCGAGAGGAGTACGCGGCATCGACGGGGGAGCCTCCCTGCCGTGTCTGGACCCGCGGTAAGTTCGGACTAAGGTACTTCGAATTCAGCTACGTTAATAACGTAGCTGAATTTGCGTACCTTAGTCCGAAGTGGGGGCTTAGTGGGGACCAGGCCAAAGAGTACAACGACTGTGTGAGTCTGTATGTGTGATTGTGTCTGTGCACAACAGAGGAGGGATTTTTGCAATCTTTCCCCCATTTGCAAATAGCCAGACTTGAAGAACCCAGCGACAGACTCACTTTCATCCTCCTTGCACCTGGCTGGGGCTGTAACTCTTCATTACAAAAGGTACCTTTGTTAATTGTTCAAATCTGAGATAACTTGCAAAGTGGTTATTTCTAGTGTATTTTCACCATCAAGAAAACAATAGGACTTGTGAATTGAATGAACTCTCTTGCAAGAGGAGGTAAGCGGACAGTTCTTTTTAAAGGTTTATTACAGGTTGGGAAAGCAATTCTTACTCACTGAATTTATTTTTTTACCAGTGGTGCTGGAACAATTTTCATAGTGGGGGTGCTGAAGGCAGAAACCATGTATTTAGGTTGTTATTGCTACTTCAAGCCAGTACCCCTAGTTCCAGCACCTATGCTTTTTACAGAAAGAGGTACTTTGACATGTGATATTTTTCCTAAGTCACTGTATTGACTTTACTGTGGGAGGATGCTATGGTAATTCAGAATCCAGCTCATTTCTATTGTTTGGTGCTTAAATCCTTAGCTGCATTTGTTCTGCTGCCCTCCAGTGTTTGTAACAGCAACCCATCTAACATAACACAGAGCTGCATCGGACTAGCTAACCTTCCCAAGCCTGGCTAAATTACTGTGGGGAACGTTTTTAACTTAATTTTATTGGCTAAAGAGCTGACAATTATTATTTCACATTCGTTGCTATCTGAGCACCTGAAATATTGTGGAGAAGTTCTGGTTTCCCTCCCCCAGCATTCAGCAGAGATAAAGGGACTACAGAGAAGGGCATTAAAGCCGATACATGAATCGGAGGTTATACATTTGAGGATGGAAGCAGAAGGCCAGATGTTGCCCCACAAGGAGGCCTCTTTGCACCACTCCCATGGTGCAAAGGCTCTGTAAAACTACCCTAAACAGGCAGCCGGGGTCTCCATCAGTTACAGAGCTTGCACTCAGGATGTGTCATGGGACAGAACCTGATATTGCTAGATCCATGCTCTAAATTACGACAGGCACCACCTCAGTTTCTGGCTACCTGAGGGAATCAGCAACCTTTACCTCCTCCCCTTCTGGGGTTTTGGGCTAAGCAAGGCTTAGGTATATCTTAAGATCAGGCTCAGAATGTATGTAGTCTGGCGGGAGGGCAGGGGCAAGTCTGATGGCTGGAGTGGGAGAACATAGTCGAACCGTGTTCTGTAAAGACTTTAATGGAAGGGTATTAGGGCCTGATCCTGCACACTCTCTCAGACAACCAATCTTTATGGAAATAGGACCATTGAAGTCAACAGGACATCTGACATGGGTAGAGACAACCTTGTGACTAAGAGTTTCCAGGGTCATACCCTTTATTTGTTTAAAAAAAATCATCATGTAATAATAGCTGAAGCTAGGGAATTGTAGGCTGGACATTAAGAAACAAGTGGATTGAGGGAGGCAGGAACAAAACAAACAAACAAACAAAAAACCACACACACACACACACACACACACACAACCAAAAACCCCAAACCAAAACTACAAAG